TGCATTAAACAATGTACACCTCAACATTATCGCTAGCTGCTGCAGCAATGCATGCAGCAGCAGCGGCAATGCATGCAGCAGCAGCAGCAGCTCGCCCCACACTATCTCCCTGCTTCGAGCAGCAGCACCGCAGCAAGTCTGCTGCATCTCCAAACATTTGCTGCGTTCATTTGTTGTTTTCTACCACTCTGTGGTGGAAACAACAAATAAAATGTGTTTATTTATATTTATAATCTCTTAATTATTCTTTTTAAGTTGTATGTACACCGCAAAACCCTTGAAATCTTCCTGCCCCTAGGCAAGAGCTGCTAGAGGCGGTGCAGCAGCAGCAGCAGCAGCAGCAGAAGCTGCTCCTGCTGCTGCTGCTGCTGCTGTTGATAAGGATGTATTGTCTTTTTTTTGTTTTATATATTTTAAATGAGGAAATAAAACAAATATGATTTATTAAAGACGCCTCAACAGAAGACAGCTGGTAAGCTGCAAACATTCGGCTGTATGCACAGCTCCCCACAGTCTTGTCTTTATGAATTACATTTTAATTTTTTATATTTAAATTATTAATATTTATATTTATTTATATTTCTTTTTTTATTTTATGCTTCCAGTTCAAACTGAATCTCTCTCTTCCTCTACCTGCTATGCACATGCATACATATATGTATATATATTTATATATATCTATTTATTTCTTTTAATTGTATTTATTATTTAAAGACATTTTATTATTTGCAAAGGGATGAAAAAGATGGAGTGCTCGGCTCTGCCGTCTGCTCAGTGATGACTCCTCCGTCGATGCTGCCTTCCTTCTGATCCTCTCTATTATTATTATTATTATTATTATTGTTATTTATTATTTATTATTTGTTGTTATTTATTGTTTATTATTTTTATTATTTATTGTTTATTATTTTTATTATTTATTGTTTATTATTTTTATTATTTATTGTTCATTTTTGTTGTATTATTTACTATTAGTCTTCTTATTAATGTGGTTAACTATTATTTATTACGCTCGTATAATGTTTATTATACTAACTGATATTATTATTATCTTTATTATTATTATTATCTTTATTATTATTATTATTATTATTTTATTTTATTTATATTTTTAATTTGTTTTTGCTCTGACGAACCGAAGAAATCCAACGCTGACAACCGCCTCTGGGGAGTCAAAACTAAAACTCGAGCTTTTTAACACTGAGCATCTCTGAATATTATTATTTTAATATTATTATTATTATATTTATATAAATAAAGATAATATATATTATATATATATAAATACTTATAGTAATTTGCTTATTATTACTCTCTTTATTCTGTTGATGCATTTTGTTTCTTTCTTTTTGAGCATTTCTTCATCGTTTGTCTATGCAATTTGTTTATATTATTATTTTATTTGTCTTTTGTTTATTACTTTACTTTCTTCTTTTCTTATCTATTTTCTTTTATTGTTCAGCGTTGCGCTGTTAATAGCTTTAATATTCAAAGTTTGTCGTACTTTGCTGATGAATCTGTACAGCTTGAGTCTTTTATGAAGACACCTAAAGCAATTTATCCTCTAAGAAGTGCTGAGAATACTCTATATTATTATTGTTATAATATATATATATAAATAATTATAAATATTTAATATATATTTATATTTAAAGGGCTTAGTGATGAGTCTTTTGTCTGTCAATCATCTGACTACTGAAGACAATTCATTTCCCACGTCTTATCTGATCTCTCTGCCTTTTACAACTTCATTAAATTTAATTAATTAATTTAATTTAATTTAATTTATTTTATTATTTATTTATCTTGTCGGTGCTCGAAGGCTTTGTTGTCCTCCTCAAGAAAACAGAGCTCAAAAGACACCGTAGATTAAATTAGGGCTCCACGGGTGGCGGAGCTGCTGCAGCAAATAGCAGCAATCGTCAATATGTGCAGCTCCCAGCAGCAGGAGCAGCAGCAGCAGTTGTTGCTGCTGCTGTTGGTTTAAGAACCAGCGCAGAGAACGTGTATGCGCTGTCTGCCTCTTTATATTGCTGTCTCCTTATCTTTTTTTATTTTTTGTTGCTGTTATGAGAGTATTATGTTGTTATTCATTTTATTGCTGATCTTTTATTTAATGTTTCGTTTTTGTTTTTTGAGGGTCTTCTTTGTTTTTGTTTGTTTATTTGTTTTGTTTGCTGCAGATAGGGGGTGGTGAGCAGAGCACAGCTCAGCGTTCGTACAGAGCAGGTGTCTCTATTTGTCTCCTTCTGACAAATTTAGAGATCTTCATCTGCTTCATTTGCTGGGGGGAAAGTCCCTGTGTCTTGGGGCCGTGAGGGCTCAGGAATTATACTCCTTTAGTTTGACAGCTAGCTACGATCACCCCCTAGCTAGCTAGCTAGCTAGGTGTGGGGGCCCCTGCGACCGTCAAAGGGAGAAGGGGGATAGCTGCTGCAGATGTTTTACTGTTGGTAGCTGAGGTGTATATACACCTCAACATACCGCCTATTAGGAGTTAGTTGATGTGCTCAGCGCATACAGAGAAATGCGCAAACAGAATAGGGCTTACGTCTTGCACACTCCCTTCTATAACTCAGCAGCAAAAACAGCAGCAGAAGGTGCTGTTGTTTGTTTTTGTGTCTTTGCTTTCTTCTTCTGGGGTTTGTAAACTCAAATCAGCGCGTAGAGGAGCCCGGTGTTCTCTGCATTCATACGGGGCGATGTTTGCTGCTGCTGCTGCAGCAAGAGCAGCAGCAGCAGCAGCAGCAGCAACGCCAATTAAGCAGAGGGGAGGGTCTGGGATGCCGCAATTCTGCGAGAGCGGAGACGCCTAAAGGCTTCACTCTCTCACCAGCAAGATTCTGCTGCTTTGTTCGCGCTGCAGCTCTCTGTCTCTAAGACGATAGAAGAGCAGCAATAGAATAGAGCAGCAGATTGTAAAGGAGAAAGGCAAGGGGGCAGCGCTGCAGCAAATCTATCTGCTGCTGTCTTTTAGTTCAATCGCCGGGGTGCAACTGCGGTGTATCTGCAGCTACTCTCTGCATGCACTCAGCGTTTGCATGCAGATGGGGCTGCAGATATTTCAGTGCTAACTTTCGATCCAGACTACTCCCTTTACGCGCTTCTTCTTCCTTATATATATAATATATATAATATATATAGTATATATATTATATATATAATTATGTGTATGTATTAGCATATATAGATTATATATATGTATAATCATATATATATATATATATCTATATATAAACATACATATATAGCATATATAAACATATATATGTATATATATATTTATATATATATATATATATTTGTTTATATAAACTGTACAAATCCCGAAGAGAGGAGGTTTGTCTTTTTTAAGTTTTTGCCTCGTCTTTAATTTTTTTGTTTTGTTGAAGGCGCTCAGATCTGCTGCTGTTAAATAGGAGTAGCCCTTTGCTGCTGCTTCTGCTGCTGCTGCCTATTAGGGGTGCTTTGCTGCTGCTGCTGCACGTTCACTGCATTTGCTGCTAGATTGCTGCAGCGGAGTGTTGCTGGGGGTCTCCCTTAGTTTATTTGGCTGTCAGCGCAGCAGCAGAGGCAGCTCGCGCTTAAACAGCAGCAGCAATCTCTCTACCGAGTTTCGTCGAGCATCTGTAGTTGCAGAAGCAGCAGCAGCAGCAGGTCCTCTTCGCAAGGGAGGGGGCCGTTGGTGCTGCTGCTGCTGCTGCTTTTGCTGCTGTGTACACACAAACCACGAGTCTGCCTTCGAGCGTATTGGCTGCTGCTGCTGCTGCTGCTGCTGCTTTCTACGTCCCTCTGCTGTGTTTTTCTTAAGGAGCCGGTGCTGCTGCTGCAGTTGCTGCTGCTGCTGCTGCTGCTTGATGCGCCTGTTCTCAGTAGAGTTGGTTTCTGCTGCTGTCTTTGCTTCTGTTGCAGAGCTGCTGATGCGGGGCTGCTGCTGCTGCTGCTGCGCAGCAGCAGCAGCAGCAAGTGCTTTCTCCGCTGCTTCCGCTTCTGCTGCTTCTGCTGCAGCAAAACTGCTGATACCTGACTCCTTTAGTGCTGCTAGCTGCCGCTGCAGCCACACGGGGCGCTGTCTCTCTAGCAGTTGTTTGTCTCTCTCTATTCCTGCAATTGTTGCTTGCTTGTGATGCTGCTGCAGCAGCAGCAGCAGCGACAGAGGTAGGCGCTCTCTAGGATCAGTTTGATTGAAAGCTGCTGCTGCTGCTGCTGCTGCTTCGTTCGCTCCAGAGTCTGCTGCAGCACCACCTTCTGTTGCTGCTCCTGCTGCTTCTCCATCTGTATCTGCGCTTTCTCCTGCTGCTGCTGCTGCTGATTGAGACAGCTCTTCGTTGAGGCTTGTGTTGCTGTGTCTCCCTTGTGCTGCTGCTGCTGCTCCACCTAGGAAGTCTCCTGCTGCAGCAGTGTGCTGCTGCTGTGGCTGCACCCAAGGGAGTTGCTGCAGCAGCAGCTCGATTTCTGCTGCTTCTGCCTGTGGCGTTTTGCTGCTGCTGCTGGGGCTGCCGCCGCGCTGGTGGTGGTGTTGCTGCTGCTGCTGCTGCTGTTGCTGCTGCTGCTGCTGCTGAGCGGCGTTTTCTGTCTCTCTAGAGGCAGCAGGTGCTGTCGCCTGCACAACAATCGGTGGAAAGTAGAGTGCATGCGACCTGTCTGCTGGTAGCTGCCGCTGCTGCTGCTGCTGCGCAGCAGGTGCTGCTGCTGCTGCTGCTGCTGCTTCAGTTGCTGTTGTTGCACGCGGCTTATGTCCAGCAGAAGCAGCAGCTTTCGCTTTTTGTTTTTTGAGTGTGCTGAAGAAGAGGGGTTTTTGCTGCTTGGGGAAAGCGTCTGCTGCTGTTGTTGCTGCTGCTGAGTCCTGTGGATGGGCCCCAGCAGCAGCAGCAGCAGCAGCAGCAGCAAAGCGTTTCTCTGTCAGCTGCAGCCTTTGCTTCCTCGCCCTATTGTTTGCTAACTGCAGCATACGGAAGCGGCGTACAATATCTGCTGGAGTTGTGCTGCAGTCCATTGTGCTGCTGCGTCTTCGCTCATTCTTTTTATTTCTTCTTCTTTAGTCTGCTTCAGCTTCCCTTCCTGTTGCTGCTGCTGCTGCTGTTGCTGCTGCTGTTAGTGTTGGCTGCTGTCTTGCTGCTGCTGCTGTGTTTCTGTCTGTCTGTATCTGTCTCCTCCGTTATGTTGTTTCTTCTGGTTTGGTGTTGCTGCTGCTTCAGCTGCTGCTGCTGCTGCTGCTGCTTTTGCTGCTGCTGCTGCTGCTGCTGCTTTTGCTGCTGCTGCTGCTGCTGCTGCTGCTGCTGCTTTTGCTGCTGCTGTCTCCTTTAGTTCATATGCTGGGCCCTTCGCCGTCTTGCCGTCTCTCTGTCTCTGCTGTTTGTTGTTTTGTTGTTATTGTTTGTCTTATTTATATATTTGTTTATTTATTTACTTTTTAATCTCTTTTCTTTTTGCTGCTGCTGCTCTTCGTTTCGCCTCTGCTGCAGCCGCGCTGTCTCCTCAACCTTCAGCAGCAGCAGCACTCCCTTTTCTTTTTGTGTTTTTTATCTGTCTGTTTTGATGCGTCTTTATCTTTATCTCTCTGTTTCTGTCTCTGTCTCTGTCTCTGTCTCTGTCTCTGTCTTTGTTGTTAGTTTGTGAATCTGCAGTTTGTTTGTTTTGCCTTCAATCTTTTTTTCTTCTGTCTCTCCTCCTCTTAAAGCCTAATATAAACCCTAAACCCTAATACAAAACCCTAAACCCCAATATAAACCCTAAAGCCTAAAACCCTAAACCCTAAAACCCTAAACCCTAAAACCCTAAACCCTAAACCCTAATACATTCCCTAAACCGCAATATAAGCCCTAAGCCGCAACAAACCCTAAACCATATACCCTAATAAACCCTAAACCCTACTAAACCCTAAACCCTAATAAACCCAAAACCCTAAACAGTGGACGTGAGAGAAGAACATCGATACTTGAGGCCTTGCTGTGTTGTGTCTCTTTACCTTTGGCTTTTTTCTTTTTTATTTTTCTTCTTTATTTTTAATTTATTAAAAAGACTAAAAAAGAATAAAAAAGAATAAACAAATAAGACAGAAGCTTCATGCAAATAGCTCTGACTTTAACAGCAATCGAAGTAAGCCCTCCTACATACACCCTATGAAGGCCTCTGTCTGGTGCTGCATAATTATTATTTTTGCTTTATATTATATTTTAATTAAATTAAATTACTGAAAAATATAAAATAAACAAACAAAACAAACAAATAATGCTTCAACTCCTCAGACTCGCTCGGGTGTATACGCACGTCCGGGGTCACTGCGCTGCTGCCTCTGCAGCCCCTCAAAGAAACTTCCGAAAAGTTTCGGATATTTTATTTTATTTTATTTAAAATTAAATTAAAATATTATTTATTTATTTCAAATTCAGCAATACAATAGAAGAGAAACAAACGCCAAAGCTGTACCCCCTCTCTCTTTCTTCAGGTGTAGTACGTACACCGCAGCAGTAATATAAAAAGAAAAACACTGTTGTTTGTTCGTTCAAAACAATAATACTTCTTTTAAATTATATGTGGAGGAGACAGCCGCTAAAGAGCTCGTGGATGCCTACAGCTTTGTGCTGTACTTACACCTCAGATAGTAATACACAGCAAATGTCTCTACATAAAAAATATAAACATTTAATACATAAAATATATAAACTTTTAATACATACAATATTAAAAGACTTACAAATATTACAATGCTTTCTCTATTCACTCAATATCTTAACAACTCATCTTCGTCTGTCTTTGTTCGGAGTTACAAATCAGAAGAAATGCAAAAAAGAATTTGCATAACTTCGCCTCTTTTCTTCCTCAAATATGTTTATATATATATATATATATATATATATATGCATTTATATATATATATGT